GGGGCTGGTCTCTCCCGCCTAAAAAAAAGATGCAGGCAGTCCAGTCCTGAAAGTGGAGGCAGAAAACCCGAAGCAGGTGGGTGACTCTCTCGTTCTTCTCTCGGGGCTGCAAGGCTCGGTCACGCCCGGAAAGAAACTGGCGCCTCGTCGCGGAGGTGGGGCAGTGCCTTCCTCACCTCCTCCTCCTCCTCTTCCTCCTCCACACCCCAACTCTAACGCTGCCTTTGGGGGGGGGGCGGCGAGAGGGTTTCTTTTGGTCGGCACCGTAAAGCCTCCAGCGGTCTCTGCCTTGTTAACCGGGCTGGGGCAGGCTTCCCGTTGGGTGCCTGGCGCGCTGGAGTTCCGTAGACGTGTCAGCGCAGCCAGACGACCAACCTTTGGCACGCGGGATCCAAAATAGTAGTCCGCTTCGCAGGCGTACCATCATGTGAACCCATCCGCGAGAAGTCCTCACCCACCCACTCACTCCCGCCTCGCCTGCCCTTCGGGTGCAGAGGATCGGGTGACCTGAAGTGCGTATATTTGCACTTCTCGCCTTGGCAGATGCCTCGATCTCAGAAACGGAAGATGACACCTGTGCACACACAGATGTAGATGTTCCAGCAGGTAACTTTTTAGGACTACGACTCCCATGAGGCCACTGTGAAATTGGCCGGGAATTGTGGGTGCGGCCATCCATCGAGGCAACATGTCCAGTCTCAGCACAGAGGAATGTTGAAGGGATTGTGAAGGACGGAGGTGCGGTTATTCCTCCTCTGGGAATCCAGGAATTTTGTCCACTAGTAAAGTGAAGGAGCCCTGTCTTAAGTGGCTGATGCTTATGGAAGCAGGTGGTGGTGGAGGAGAATCATCCACAGGGTTCTGAATACATCCAACTGAAAGTGCTGCGAGGGGGCGGGGTCCACTTTGCTAGCAGCAGCAGCTTTTCAGAGTCTCAGGTGAGACTCTTATCCTCTCCTTTGCCAGCCGAGATCCCTTTTTAGTTGCAGATGTTTGGGGTCATTCCTTCTTGGGACGTTCTGAAGGCAGAGAAAGTGCTTCGCCATTCAACTAGGGGACCTGGTGTGACCAAATCCACAGTTCTGCAACAGGAACAGCAGATGTTAATATACCCCTGATTAGGTAAAGGTTAAGGTTCCCCTTGACAATTTTTGTCCAGTCGCGTTCGACCCTAGGGGGCGGTGCTCATCCCCGTTTCCAAGCCGTAGAGCCAGCATTTTGTCCGAAGACAATCTTTCCGTGGTCACATGGCCAGTGCGACTCAGACACGGAACGCTGTTTACCTTCCCATCGAGGTGGTCCCTATTTATCTACTTGCATTTGCATGCTTTCGAACTGCTAGGTTGGCGGGAGCTGGGACAAGCGACGGGCGCTCACTCCATCGCGTGGATTCGATCTCATGACTGCTGGTCTTCTGACCCTGCAGCACACAAAGGCTTCTGCGGTTTAGCCCGCAGCGCCACCACGTCCGTGATTAACCTACCTTTAAACAGGGTGTAATTAATTCATTATATACCATTAAGTCATTTCCAGTTTATGGTTACCCTCTCAGAAGTGATTTATCAGTCCTTCCAGTAAGGTATAATTATTTTATGAGTATTCAAGAATAAAACCCTTGTGCTGTGCTTAATCTTGCTCCTAATTTCAACTGATCTTAGTTGCATGTCCCCCAAAGTGTGAAGCAGTGTCCTACTTTTTGTTTGGTTAGTCCTTCAGAAAGTTGACTTGACTTATGGCATTGTTCCAAGGCAAGAGAAGGAGCTGATATACAAAGCAACTGAGTTTGAATACGGAAAACAAGCAGGAGACATGAGATCTATCCAGCACTTCAGACGTGGAAAGGACTTGAAGATGAGGTCTGAGGCAGGCCATAAACATAGTGGCTCTTCACTTTGTAGCACTTATCCTCCCTTCTTTGAGTAGATCCCAGACTGGTGATTCATCTTCCCAGAATCAAGCCTTATTTTGCCACCTGGCACATGCTTTCACAGCAATCAGGCGGGATAGCCACAAAAGCATATATCAGAGCTGTGGAACTCGATGAGGGAGCCACAATTGGTTCAGCTGCATATCCCTTCAGTGTTCACTAGCTGCGTGACAATCATTTGATCTGGCACTGAGTGATGTAAGGTTGGATTTTTATGCAAATGAAAGGTGCTTCCTCAAGAGGATAAACAGGGCAAGGCCACAAAATCCTTGTAGAACAGGCCGGAGCCAGGCAGGGATGCGTTTCCTTGATCTGAGGAGATTTCTTTCCTTTGTCTATGAAGGGTTTTGTTGTCCTTTTGGCTGTTCCAGTGTGACTGGCCATGCTGTTTTCCTGTTCAGCAAAAAGCCAGTGTATATAAAAGACAGGACTAATCCTGGCTCTGTCCCTGCCCTGAATAAGCAGTATTTGATCTCTCTTCTCCCCACAGTTGCCAGCAACACAGCTGCTTCCCTGACCCAACAGCCACTGGAGGAGGGAAAGAGATGGGGGAAACGGACAAAGAAGAATATAAGATACATTCGTTTGACACAGAAATTCAGCAGTTGCTGAAAACAGCTCTCAAAGGTCAGCATCTCCCCCTCATTACACCCATTTTGCTATGAACCAGCAACACTCAGTGGCAAGACTACTGAATGTGGAGCTTTTGGGCAACTGTTAACCTTATAAAAGGACGGAGTGGTCCCTCTTGAATGTGCTCAGATTGTCAGAGATCCCACTCAGAAGTTAGAGGGGCAGCAATTGATCAGGAGGGATATTCTGTGGCGGCAGCACCCCCAGTGCGATGTGACAGCTTGTATTGAACTTTAATTATGGATGTCTTGGTCTCCTTCATCTGTTTTATGACCTTCGTATTTTTCTGCTGTTTTAGGAGTGTTTAAAACTGTAATTGTTCTTAATTTATTTTATGTGTCTTTTTTTTAGTATATAGAGAGAATTCTTATTCCATTTTAACTCTATCTAAGCTGCATTTTGCAGCGTGATTCCGTTTTTTCCATTGACCATATGATGCAAAGGGAAATGCAGATCAGCCTGGAGATAAGTGGAGAGACCTCCCCCCACCAATTCATAGTTTTTGCCTCCAGTGCTGGGGCTTTTGCTTTTAAAAATAAGGATATATTCACATTGGTTCAGGCAGTGTGATTGCCTGATCCAATGCAGAAAAGCTGCCGTGCCAGCACACACTCATAGGAATGGTGAGCAAAGCCTCTCTCCATTGGCAAGATGTTTCTTTTTCTTTGAAAACAGCTTAGGAATGGCAAGGCAACCATATCTGTGTTGGCAAGACTTCTATCTTTTTAAAAACAGCAGCTAGACACCCCCCAAAATGATAATGAGGAAAACCTTGTTTACAGATTATTACATAATTTCCCTTGTAACTGTGCCTCCTGCAAGGCTACAATAGAGCTGCAAACAAGGCTTTATTCCCCTCTCTGTGTGTGGCCAGTTAATGCTAACACACCCCGAGAAGCCTGAATTCCCTGGTGCAACTTCACAGCAATTGAACACTAGTGAATTTACATTTCCCGTGCTGTTATAGTCATACTCCAAGCCAGGTATACAAATCCCCCACCTTTCTTACTGAAGGTTAACCAGCAGTCTGGTAACCCAATGGATATTTTAGTTGCCACCACTTGCTGAATATAGACTTTCTAGTATGATGATTCTCAAGTTTTGGTTTTATAGTTCACAGAAGCCCCAAGTCAGCATGACCAGTGATCAAGGGTTCTGCTTCTGAATTGTCACCACATCAAGCAGTTGCACTGCTTTGCTCATGTCTAGTCTTCAGCTACAGGGCATCTCATGTGAAACCTGGCGGGATAGAGATTTAAACTTTTGGAAAGAGTGTATTTGCCAAACAATTGACCCCAGGCTAAGCAAGGTGTTTCTGTAACATCTACTGCTAAATGCTGATGCTATCACATGGCAGTCCCAGCTCTCTGACAGAGAGGAGATGCATTCCATGCTCGAGGGAAAGGGTCTGGTTTATACCTAGAGTTGAGACAAAGTGCACAGACTCCAGGGGCATCTTGCATGCAGCAGCAGAAAGTATTCAGACATTAAACTGTTAAGAAACTGTTGTAACTGAAAGCCAAGGGACACTTCCTGCTTTTGCTAGTTCTAGACTGGAAGATGCTGGATAGCTCAGTGTTTTAGGCTTCTGGCTGTCCTGCTTTTGCTAGTTCTAAACTGGAAGATGCTGGATAGCTCAGCGCTTTAGGCTTCTGGCTGCAGAGCCTGAGTTTGGGAGTTCAGTTCTACATGGGACTGTCTTTGAGGCTGATGCGGAAACTTCAGGTGGTGCAGAATGCAGCGGCCAGACTCCTTAGTGGAGTGAGAAAATACCAGCATATTTCTCCTATTCTGACCATGCTGCACTGGCTACCCATTCATTTCCGCATTGACTTCAAAGTTTTAATGCTTACTTATAATGCCCTAAACGGTTTAGGACCTCGATACTTGGCGGAACGCCTGCTCCCACCAAGATCTACCGGGATCACCTGTGCTAATCAGGAGGTGAGGCTGAGGAGCCTGATGCCAAGGGAGGCCCGGAAGGAAAAGAGACGAAATCGGGTCTTCTCGGCGGTGACTCCTCGCCTCTGGAACAACCTCCCTCCAGAGATTCGCGCGGGCCCTACGCTGGGCACATTTATGAGTCAACTAAAAACATGGATGTATATTCAGGCCTTCCCTCCTGTCAACACTTGACTTTCTTTTATTCTCTCTTTATTTACTACTTACTCTATTTTTGTATTGTATTGTCACTGTTTGTCTCATGTAATACTTCTGTGTTATTTTATTGTATATATGTTATACTGGAAGCCGCCCAGAGTGGTCGTATAGACGAGATGGGCAGGATATAAAATAAATAAATGAATAAGTTCCCCACTGGTCCTCCTTGACAGAGGCTGGATTCAGTGATCCATAGAGTCCCTTCCAACTCTCCAGTTCTAAGATTATAATAATTATAATAATTATGCTGTTTAAGCATCACAAGAACTGGAATACAGGTAAGGGGCATGAAATTAATCCACTGTTGTGATTGCTCTGTGCCCCTTACCCCATGTATCCTGGGAACTGTGGGCAAGGCTAGAAAAGCATGTTGTTAGAATTCTGAAACTAGTCCCTAATGCCCTTTGTCAAGAGCCATGGCCACTGTTTGTTTGAAACTTAGCTGTCATAAACTTGGCCGTAGGTGGTCCGAAGTGCTGTGTTCCAGATCTTGGATTTCTCCCATGCTCCACATGGAATGTCAAATAACTACCCTTACTGAAGAACTGAGAAGAGGAAGTGTGTGTGTGGGGGGGCACTCTTCCCTGGAGACTGTTTTGATCCATACATTCAACATCCAGTACAAGTTAAGAAGTCCAGTAATAAAGTTGTACTGTTAAATTGTAAACATCCAAAATGATGCCACTACAGTATATGCGTGTTAGAAGCCGGTATTGATAAAGTTGCTGCCTCTTCTTATGTAGACCCCAGCAAAGTGGATCTGGAGAAAGTGGCCAATGTAATTGTGGACCAATCCCTCAAAGACTGCGTGTTCAGTAAAGAAGCCGGACGTATTTGTTACACCATCATCCAGGTAGGAAAACTGAGCCTCCCGCATTTTGAGAAAAGGCAGCTTCTTCAGCACAGTGAATCACATGCAGCTGTTCTGCAGATTCTGTAGTATATATTTGGCCTTTGAAAGCAATACAAAAGGATCACATCTCTCCACATATTTCTTAGCCATTTCAGTGCTGAGCCCTGCTACTGGTAATCTCAAAAGTGGAAACCCTGATAAAAGATCATTTATACGTGAGCTAGTATTCAAAATCAAGAGATTTGAGAGCAAAGTAAATTAAGGTTTATTATTCTTTGTCTTCTGTGTATCTTTCCAATTTGACTCTGCCATATTTTTAACATTGTCCTTAATACCATGCCAGTTATAAACTTGTTTTATAGTGTAAACCGAGGTCCTAAATACTCTGAAAGGACTTTTGTTGAAATTTTATTTTCTTCTTATACTACTAGTATCATTGATGGAAGGAAAATATTTAGTGAGTGATGGCTGAGGGAGAATATTACTTATGATTAGATGCAAATACTGTAATTGAAGTAATATTAGATTTTTTTGTGAGTGTGAGATACTTTAATATTAAATAAAATTATTTATTTCATGTACATACAAACACAAATTATTTAAGTAAAAGGTTTTGGCTTTCACCTTCTTCAGTGATTCTGGTAAAGATATGCTGTTTCCCAGATGGCAATTATGGGAACCTTTTGTGTGTGTGTGTGTGTGTGTGTGTACGTGTACACACACACACAGAATGAGAGAGAGAGAGAGAGAGAGAGAAGCCTGTAGTTTGCCTGAAAATAATTCTGTAAGTGCACACTGTTCATCTTGGCTTGAGTACCAGCCTTCCTTCCTTCCCTGCAGACTGAACTGGGTAGGTAGCCCAGCTGAGAACAGAAAGAGAACCTACCCCTTCCACTACAGCCTAGATTTGATGAACAATCTAACAATTCATATCTAAATTTTGGGCACTTGTCAGCTGCTACTTCATCATGACAGATCTTTTTCTGCATGGTGATTGTGTCCTTCTGGATTTCACATCTTTGCCTTTGTCACAGGCAGAGAACAAACAGACAGGCCAGAGTGTCTTCCGGCGAGGCCTTCTCAACCGCCTTCAGCAGGAATATAAGGACCGCGATGACTTGCGAGCCCGCTCCCTCCAAGCTTGGATTGGCTACGTCACCTTTATCTGTAGCATCTTTGACTACCTGAGAGTAAGTAAAGGCAGCATGAGTGTCATCGAGATTAAAAAGACTGACAACTTTTTAAGAATGCCTTGCAGCAGAAAGACAGTAAGGCAGGCATGACATGTACCTGTTGGGTGGAGCATTCCATGTTTAGGGTGCCATTGCTGAAAAGGCCCTCTGATCGCCACAAGCTTCACCTGGCTGGGGCAACCTTTGTGCATCCTGCCCTGAAGATCTTAATTTGTTTCCCCAAAATGCAGCACCCTATGTCTATATTAGAATACGGTGCTGGTCCTCAGCCCAGCCAGCATGACCAGTGGTCAGGACTGAGAAGAGCTATTGTGCAAAACAAACCAAACGTAGAGGGACCTGCTTGGAGGAAGACTGCTGTTGACATCACCAAAGTTTGCAAATGTGGCTTGAATTCAAAGAGGCTTCAAACACTCATTTGTTTTTGTTTTTTAAATCATGCATTTTAGGTATCAGGGTTCTGAGCTAAGAGAACTCATAATCCCCAGCAATTGTTAGCCTTGAAGGTATTATTCAAGTCCATGCTGTTGTTGTTTCAAGAGACCAAAGCAGCTATTCTTATGGATTGTTTGACACACCCTTCCAAGGGAGAGGGAAGGCAGAGGTCTTTAAACATTTTGTAAAAAACGTAAACACCAGTTTATAAGTATACTGTCCATTGGCAGGTCAACAATATGCCCATGATGGCACTGGTGAACCCTGTTTACGACTGCCTGTTTCTACTGGCACAGCCTGAGAACCTAAGGAAAGAAGAAGAGGTGAGTTCTAATGGATACAAGCAGGATGAAAGTTGCGTTGACCTGTGTGAAACAGACAAAGAGGAAGGTAGCCAACATGGAGCACTCCTCCCACTTCTTTACCATGGACTATGCTGGCTGGAGTTGATGGGAGCTGAAGTGGAACAGCGTCCAGAGGGCCATGCTTTGTCCACCTTGGCTGCATTATGGATATTTTAAAGATCTTTTGTGTAAGCCAGTGGTCCTGTAACAATCTAAAGACTCTCTTGTTTGAAAAGAAAACCAAATTATTTGAAGGAAGGTCTGCAACAAGTCTCCACTAAGCACATATGTTTAAAAGGCAGAGAGTGGATTATATTTATCTAAAATAGCAATCCCCAACCTTTTTAGCCCCGCAGACTGGCTGGGGAAGGCGGGGCACCCCCCCTGCAGTTGTGCGCATGTGCGAAGGGCAGCGCAGCGCTTGTACAGGTGCGTTCACGTGCAGGCACAAACTGGCTGTGCAGGGGGAATGCATGCGGGGGTAGTGGGGAGGCCTGTGTCCGTGGCCCAGTCCGGGTCAGGCCATGGACCAGCACCGGGCTGCAGACTGGGGTTGGGGACCTTTGATCTAAAGGATATGTTAGAACTGTCCAGGTTAGATTGTCACACAGTTGTTGAGATTCATTTAAACAATGTCTCTTTTTAAACCATGCTTTAAATACTTAATAAGGAGTCTTATGGCACCACTGACTGGCTATTGTGGACTGTAACCCACTTCTTTGGATGCCTGAAGTCTCCCTGTTGCATGTACTGCAACAGACTAAGAGAACTACACCAAGAGATACACATAACAGAAAGGATTAGCTCCATGTTCTTTTGTTACATTAATTTTCTGTAAGTACTAAGGATCATAAGACCCTGATGTACGCATAGGAACCAATATACTGTATAAGGCACCATTAATTCCTTTAGAAGATTAAAAAAAAAACAATTATAAGGCTATGCTGGTGAAAAGAGGGAAGTTAAGCCAGAATTGAACGGGTCTGTGCTGAGGGAGAGCAGCCCCTTACAGAGTGTGATGCTCCCATTTGCAGTTGCTTTAAACTGATTTTTTTGTATGCGTTTGCTGATGTTCTGTTTGAAACCATTACATTGGAACTGCCTTGTTTTTAAGAAATTGACAGTTAAGGTATAATTGGATGCAGAGTTTTTCCTGTTTTTTATTGTATGCTGCATTGGAAAGACTGGCCTTGGAAAGGGGTTCAGTAATATGTTTAATTAAATAAAATGAATGAGAAACAGTTCTTTAAAAATTAAAAGCAACAATTTTCTTTAATGGAACAGAGAAGCTCTTGCTGTAGGTAGTGGGATTCTGAACAGGGTATCTAGTACACCTGGCATTTAACCCTCCAGAAGCTCATAGCTTCTGCTTGTCCATAGTCTTTTAAGATGGGTAACTTTTTCATACTGTAATTCCCAGAAATTCTCGAGTTGCATTATTGGCCTATGCTGGTAGGGATATCCTGGGAGCTGTAGTCCATAAAGTAACAACAATAATAGAGCCTGCCCAAACTGATTGCCATATTTGCTTAGGACAGTGCTGGGGAAGCTTTAGCTTTCCAGAAGCTGGAGGACTCCCAGTTCCCACTCAGTCCAGCCAACCTGGCCAGTGGTGAGAGATGGTGGAGGTAGTAGTTCATCAGCATCTGGAGGGCTACAGGTTTTCCAGCCTTGGCATGAGAGAAGCCATTTCCACTCCCCCCACCCTTCCTTCTCTCGTCGTCTGATGATGCTAAGATGCCGCTTCTGGGGGAAACCCCATTATTACAGATGTATGCTTAATTTCCTTCTTTTAAGGTGGACTGCCTGGTGTTGCAGCTACACCGTATTGGGGAACAGCTTGAGAAGATGAATTCCCAGAGGATGGATGAACTCTTTTCCCTTCTGCGAGATGGCTTTTTGCTCCAACAGGGCCTTAGTTCCCTCTCCCAACTGCTCTTGCTGGAGATCATTGAGTTCCGGGCTGCTGACTGGAAAATGACAGAGGCGGCCCAGAAATACTACTACAGCGAGGTTACCGACTGAACGAGGTTACCGCTAGCACCAGCTCATGCTACCTTCAGGCAGAGTTTGAATTCTCACTCCGGCTCCCTTTCACCAGCAACTTTGAAAACAAAACAAAAGCTGCAATTATTTTAAATGCTCTTTCTCCAGCACTTTCTGTATCGAGAACATATAATGGGCTCCCTCAATAGCTCTTTGGCACAGGGTAACTGCTGGCCAAAACTGAGGAGCTGGGAGAGCAGTTCCATTTGGCTGGAGCCAAAGCTTGTATCTTGCAACTGCTACTCCCATTGTGTTGCACTAAATAGGGACTTGATCTAACCACTGCTGCAAGATGAATTAGCATTTTATACAGGGTCATTGTCTCTTCTTACTTGTCTATGCTAATTTTAAGCAGAGAGGCAGTGGTTTAAACCTAACCTGATAATAACTTTTTTTTAACTCTAACAACACCGTGAGAATTATGTCTCACATTTGTTATTTTATATTGTTCCATAGCTGACTTCAGTTTGTGAAGGGATCAAAGCACCACCATAGGATTTCAGTTTGCATCCTTGCAGCTTCCTTTGAGTATTCTAAATATCAGCTGCTGGGGAATGTGAAGTGGGGTGGTTATGGTTAGGGTCCTTCCACAGGCATCTGGTGGATCGTTGCTGGAATACAATTCTAGCTGTGTTGTTGGTCTTCCTTTGCTTTCTAGACTCTGATTTGTGCCACAGGTGCTATGATCCACTAAGCACATACGTTTAAAAGGCAGAGAGTGGATTATATTTATCTAAAATAGCAATCCCCAACCTTTTTAGCCCCGCAGACTGGCTGGGGGAGGTGGGAGACCCCCCCTGCACTTGTGCGCATGTGCGAAGGGCAGCGCAGCGCTTGTACAGGTGCGTTCACGTGCAGATACAAACTGGCTGTGCAGGGGGAATGCATGCGGGGGTAGTGGGGAGGCCTGTCTCCGTGGCCCAGTCCGGCTCAGGCCATGGACCAGCACTGGGCTGCAGACTGGGGTTGGGGACCTTTGATCTAAAGGATATGTTAGAACTGTCCAGGTTAGATTGTCACACAGTTGTTGAGATTCATTTAAACAATGTCTCTTTTTAAACCATGCTTTAAATACTTAATAAGGAGTCTTATGGCACCACTGACTGGCTATTGTGGACTGTAACCCACTTCTTTGGATGCCTGAAGTCTCCCTGTTGCATGTACTGCAACAGACTAAGAGAACTACACCAAGAGATACACATAACAGAAAGGATTAGCTCCATGTTCTTTTGTTACATTAATTTTCTGTAAGTACTAAGGATCATAAGACCCTGATGTACGCATAGGAACCAATATACTGTACTCCTTTAGAAGATTTTAAAAAACAATTATAAGGCTATGCTGGTGAAAAGAGGGAAGTTAAGCCAGAATTGAACGGGTCTGTGCTGAGGAAGAGAAGCCCCTTACAGAGTGTGATGCTCCCATTTGCAGTTGCTTTAAACTGATTTTTTTGTATGCGTTTGAGAGCAGCCCCTTACAGAGTGTGATGCTCCCTTTTGCAGTTGCTTTAAACCAGGGGTCTCAAACTCAATCAGCGGGCATGTTTGAAACTCCTGCTTTAAACTGATTTTTTTGTATGCGTTTGCTGATGTTCTGTTTGAAACCATTACATTGGAACTGCCTTGTTTTTAAGAAATTGACAGTTAAGGTATAATTGGATGCAGAGTTTTTCCTGTTTTTTATTGTATGCTGCATTGGAAAGACTGGCCTTGGAAAGGGGTTCAGTAATATGTTTAATTAAATAAAATGAATGAGAAACAGTTCTTTAAAAATTAAAAGCAACAATTTTCTTTAATGGAACAGAGAAGCTCTTGCTGTAGGTAGTGGGATTCTGAACAGGGTATCTAGTACACCTGGCATTTAACCCTCCAGAAGCTCATAGCTTCTGCTTGTCCATAGTCTTTTAAGATGGGTAACTTTTTCATACTGTAATTCCCAGAAATTCTCGAGTTGCATGATTATTGGCCTGTGCTGGTAGGGATATCCTGGGAGCTGTCCTCCATAAAGTAACAACAATAATAGAGCCTGCCCAAACTGATTGCCATATTTGCTTAGGACAGTGCTGGGGAAGCTTTAGCTTTCCAGAAGCTGGAGGACTCCCAGTTCCCACTCAGTCCAGCCAACCTGGCCAGTGGTGAGAGATGGTGGAGGTAGTAGTTCATCAGCATCTGGAGGGCTACAGGTTTTCCAGCCTTGGCATGAGAGAAGCCATTTCCACTCCCCCCACCCTTCCTTCTCTCGTCGTCTGATGCCAAGATGCCGCTTCTGGGGGAAACCCCATTATTACAGATGTATGCTTAATTTCCTTCTTTTAAGGTGGACTGCCTGGTGTTGCAGCTACACCGTATTGGGGAACAGCTTGAGAAGATGAATTCCCAGAGGATGGATGAACTCTTTTCCCTTCTGCGAGATGGCTTTTTGCTCCAACAGGGCCTTAGTTCCCTCTCCCAACTGCTCTTGCTGGAGATCATTGAGTTCCGGGCTGCTGACTGGAAAATGACAGAGGCAGCCCAGAAATACTACTACAGCGAGGTTACCGACTGAACGAGGTTACCGCTAGCACCAGCTCATGCTACCTTCAGGCAGAGTTTGAATTCTCACTCCGGCTCCCTTTCACCAGCAACTTTGAAAACAAAACAAAAGCTGCAATTATTTTAAATGCTCTTTCTCCAGCACTTTCTGTATCGAGAACATATAATGGGCTCCCTCAATAGCTCTTTGGCACAGGGTAACTGCTGGCCAAAACTGAGGAGCTGGGAGAGCAGTTCCATTTGGCTGGAGCCAAAGCTTGTATCTTGCAACTGCTACTCCCATTGTGTTGCACTAAATAGGGACTTGATCTAACCACTGCTGCAAGATGAATTAGCATTTTATACAGGGTCATTGTCTCTTCTTACTTGTCTATGCTAATTTTAAGCAGAGAGGCAGTGGTTTAAACCTAACCTGATAATAACTTTTTTTTAACTCTAACAACACCGTGAGAATTATGTCTCACATTTGTTATTTTATATTGTTCCATAGCTGACTTCAGTTTGTGAAGGGATCAAAGCACCACCATAGGATTTCAGTTTGCATCCTTGCAGCTTCCTTTGAGTATTCTAAATATCAGCTGCTGGGGAATGTGAAGTGGGGTGGTTACGGTTAGGTCCTTCCACAGGCATCTGGTGGATCGTTGCTGGAATACAATTCTAGCTGTGTTGTTGGTCTTCCTTTGCTTTCTAGACTCTGATTTGTGCCACAGGTGCTATGAAGCTCATGTAGCTACTAATGGCAGATGGCTTTACCATACTTCCTACTTCTGGTTAACAAAATAGCAATTTAAAAAAACTGTCTGATAGTTTCTATGCAAGACAGAGTTTGTGTAGATGCAAAAAAAAAAAAGTGCCACCACTGGTACCCTTTCCCTTTGTTGGCAAAAGATACGCTAGCTGAAAGATGAAATTCTAACTATGGTTAGAGCAGAGGTAAAAGGTTTGCCATAAATCTCCCACAACTGTACAGCTGCGGTCTGCAGGTCTGAATGCTTCCTGATATAAGTAACATTTCCTTTTATAAAGAAAGCAAAAGTCACGGGAAAAGGCAAAGCTACAGCCCTTTAATTTGCCACACTAGCCTGGCACAAGTCGACAGAAAGAGTTCAGCTGTGCCACTCCTGGCTAGCCATCTCCTGTGGATGGTCTGAGATGTTGGCCAGTACTCACTGTAAGAAAGTTCTGTTGCCAACAGAGATGACTCCTATTTTGAAGAAAGTGCATTTAGATTTGGGAGGAAGGCAGTCACTTTCTCTGCTATGTGGTTATAAAACAGTGGCCCTGAATGTTTTTAGGTTTGGGTTAATGCAGCAAAGGCCCTTCACATTTTGGAGGAATATGCAACCCCGTAGCTTTGGCCACACTACCTGAGGTTGATGGGAACTGAAGCCCAAACTATCTGGAGTGCTGCGCGAGTTCTCCATCCTTGGGCTACAATGTACTCTCCCGAGATCAGGGGTACACATGTCACAATGATGACGTGGTCTAATCATGAGCCAGGTGTACACTTTTGCTCAGCTACTGGCCCCATAGAAAGAGGCTTCTGCAAAAACATGCTGGAGTTTGTGGGCTCCCCATGAAGATTCAGCCGCATCTCCATTTTTTCAAATAAGATACTGTTATGAGTGTGTTGATCATTCTGCTGCTGGTGGGTGCTACACCGATGCTTTCAACTTGCAGTCCCCAATGTGCTCTATTCTTTGCTCCCCTGCTTCTGGATCACTCAGGTGTAACTAACAGCTTAAGCAGGGTCTTTTCCCCCTTGGGCCAAACCTAGAGAAACTCTGGCGTCTCCAGAGTAGGTAACAGTCCCCACAATTCCCTATGATTGGCCAAGTTACATGAGGCTGATGGAAACTGCAAGCCAAATGTTCTGGAGGGCTATCTCTGTGCAACTCAGGAAGCCAACCAATTAATTGCTCCAGAACCTCACTCTGTTGTAAGATTATTCTATCAAGAACTCTCAACTACAAACTGATTTTGTAACTTTTATAATGCAGCTACTTTGAACTACAGTATTACCTTTCACTTAAGGTTGGGGGTGTGTTTTTGGCACCTTTTTAAAAAAAATAAACATTCTACACTTCTGCCTACATTGTATCTTCTCCATCCATTAAAGTCATAAAACCAAACAAAATAAATTGCTTTATGACAGGGCTGTAAATCGTCACTTGGCTATGACCTGATGGGAGGGATTTTTCAAAATCTAGTCTTCATTTCTTTTAGCTTATTTCTACTTTATTTCCCCTGAAATTAACAAGTCTGGAGTAGCTCTTTTTTGTCACCCTGTTTTTCTCTGTTGCAGTTTGCTATTTTTCCCATCAGTCTGTTAACGCTCTGTGGTAAGAAAACAAGCATATTGAATCCTTACCACTGTTTTTTAGAATCCACATGCCAAAAGTTATTTTCCTAAGCCCTTTTAAAAATAATAATAGTTTGGCAAACTTACTACAAACTCACTACTCCTTGAATTGTGCTATTCTCACTATATAAGGGCCAACACTCAGAACTGATATCCTTGTAATAGATATTATTAAGGCAGGCACCTAAGTAACTGATACAGATTTAGTTGCAAGCCCACTTAATGACACACAGAAATCACATTTCTTTTAAATTCTTTAGAACGATGCTAGTGACACAGTGTTCAGACATAAGAATCATTGCTGGAGCATATCAATAAGGCAAAAAAAATATTTATAAATTGCAATAATTTATTTAGCTCTTGCTATACGTTTAGCTCTGTAATCCTTGTCTCCATCATTCCTAAAACACAGCTGCATAGTGAATAATCCCTGTCTTATTAGACAGATGAAGGAATCACAAGATTAGCATATTCACATCTAACTTGCAATATACTCCCTATGTTTCATCGGTCATCAGATCCCAACAGCTCTGAGTCTCTGAAATCTAATTAATATGCTTTGTTTAAACTTGGGACATATCTGTGATTCAGGGTCATTTACTCACATGTGCTCATTATTTTGTGATGGCAATGTCAAGTGATGAGTTGTACCAACATGAATTGGGCATGGGGGGGAAGCTACAGACTACCTTTACCTTCTTATATCATCTTTAATCTTTTTCACTTAAGCAGTTTATGCATTCAACTGTGCTTGACTGTTAAAAAGCAAGTGATAAAAAGGTATGTGTGCACCAGGCTAAGAAGGGTTATTAATACTATAATTTGAAGTTAACCACCCTTGGAAAGAAATCAGTTTTCAATCATGTTCTCGATTAACTCACGACACAAAAGGCATGGTAGAGAGGGAGACGGCATCACCGGATACATGGAAAACAAGTGAAACTTAAATGCAGGATGTTACCAGAAAGCATGGCTGACCAATACAAAATCCTAATCCTTTTTTAAATTCTCCCAGAGGACTGACAGTAACTGCACAATGTACAAAATCTCTAACTTGGAAGAGGCTGGTCTGATGTTATGTAGAACACCTGAGAATGGATATAAGCCTACAATGATGAAATAAGACTGGCCACAGAATAACCAGAATTGTACCTTATAATAGTCTAAAAAGGAAGACCTTTTATTTCAGTTGGGATTTTCTTTGTTATCCTTGGAAGAGAGCTTACTGGGAACCTGCTACAGCCTTCCCAGGTGAGTGACATGCAAAGAATTATGGGCTTAAAAATAAAACAGCAGCACACTTTGTCCTGTAGCAAAGTCTCAGACCTCCCAGGATGTATCTGGCAGAATGGTACGTTCTCTACAACCAACGATAGTGAGCAAAGGCCCGGTTAGCCTCAGCCATTTTGTGAAGCTCATACTTTTTCTTTATTACAGAACCTTCATTATTGAAAGCTTGTAGTAGCTCATCAGAAAGTTTTTCAGGGAAAGGAGTTCTGCTGCCCCTATTTTCCCTGCATTCTGTCATCATCCATTTCATGGCTAAGAAGTGTTTTTGTTTTTCTGAGATAGGGGCTGGGACCTGCAAGAGATGAAACAAACAAACGAACAGGATTAAGTATAAATTCCTTATGAAGCAGCTCTAATTATGTGCTAATGCAATTCATTCATTCATTCTACTTTTACACTGCCCGATGAGTGCAAGGCACTACTCTGGGTGATTAACAAACAGATAAAGCAAATGCAATCATATAACAATAAAGGTAAACAATAATCAAAATAGAAAATAAGAATAGAACAAATCCGTAAAACTTAAAAAAAAAAAAAAACCACACCAAGTGCCGTAGCAATGGCCAGAAATGGCAGGACAAATTCGGCAGGTTTGTTGAAGGATGCCATTAAAAGCTTCTTTAAAGCACTGTTTTAAGCAACCTATTGAAGGTAGACAGGGAGGGGACCAGGCCTAGCTCAACTGGAAGTCCTTTCCAAAGGGTTGGTACCACTGCTGAGAATGCACAATTTCTGGTGGATATCTTTTTGGTCTCCCTCAGCACAGCAACCCGTAGGACCACTGCCTGAGAAAATCTGGCGGTGTGAGCCGACATTCTTGAGGAAAGGTGCTCCAACAAGTAATGGGGGGCCAAACTATGAAGAGCTTTATAAGTAAGAACCAAGACCCTAAACCTGGCCTGGAACCCCACAAGCAGCCAGTACAAGCAAATCAAGACTGGGGAAATGCTGTCAAACTTGCCCACACTTGACACCAGCCTGGCAGCCACATCCTAAACCATCTTGTCTAGGATCAGTTTCAAATTCACTTCCCTTGCATGCCTGTACTATGACATGTAGTGCACTGAAGCCAACATCTGAGTTTTAAAATTGTTGGGGACTTTTTAAAAGCAATGATTGTGGTATAAAAATAATGTCGCCTATAATGGGGAAATAGAAAGTACTCAACATCTGTCATTATTTACCTAATGGTTGCTAGGCCTTAAAACAGACACTGGTCAGGACATCTAACATTTTTAAAAGCAACTATGTCCAACTAATTTTAGTAAGTGTTTCACTATAAAAGCTGAAGTCCTTTGGATGATTCAGGTTTACACACTTAGACTATTCATTACATTCTCATACATAAGCAGGAATCCCAGCTCATTGAAAATCATGGCAGACAAATTCAAATCAACTTTTTAAAAAAGTGAATCACTATTAATTAGTTATTAATCTCAGGTAAAATGTGGCTGCATTGTCATCAACCACAATGAAAGAAATGGCAGTGTCTTGTACAACCTCAACTGCAGCAGACCAAAGTCTATACCTGTAACTACCTAGATGGAAACTGATGGAAGCTGGCCTCTCAGTCCCCAAATCAATGAGACTCTGCACTGCTGGACCCACTTTCTGCTAGCCTACAATGATGGTAACAGGTTTACCTCTTGGAGGGGCGACAAAAGTCCAATCAGATTTGGGCAGAAGGGGAGCGGATTCTTGGTTTCATTTAGAAATGGGCACGAACTATGAGTGACAGTTCGGGCACTGCTTGTTTACCAGACTAACAGTTTATGTGCAGCTCAGAGTCCCACTCCCTCCATCGGGTGCAAATTTGGAGGCAACGCCTGGAAGAGGCAGGGCAGGGAAGTCGGGGCGCTGCTTCTGAGTGAGCAGCCGCTAGAGGACGCAGCATGCCAAACTGCAGATCAGCTGTTGGGCCAGTAAATGAATGGTGTCAAACCACCAAACGCACATTCATGCCCATCTCTAGTCTCATTCTCAAATCTTTTTTGTGGCTTACCTGGTAGATTTTACCTGCTTTTATGACACGTGTAATACCAATGACAGGTTCACAATTTTTCAGTGCCTGATGAAAGATTGTGTAAGGGTTGAGCTCAATGCCTTTTTTGTCCTCATCCTTGGCTTCATGGTACTTCTTGAATTGCTTCCTTTTAATGGCTTCTAAAGTCTTAATTACAAACAAAAACAAAGGTAAAGCACACAGACCTTCTGCAAATTACCGCACTTTTCTGTGTGTAAAACAACACTTTTTCCTTAAATAATTAGACAAAAAATTGAGGGTCATTTCATACACAGAAGGCAGCCGCTTTCCCCTGCCTTTTGCAAAGCCACGGGGTTTAGCAAAAAGAAAGGGAAGGCTGCCTTCAGGTAAAGCAGCAGTGAAAGGGATGCGGTCGTGCAGCCTTTACCCGAAGGGAGGTTATGAGGGTCGAGACCATAAAGAGACAGAGAAAAAGGGAAGACGAAGGTAAACCCATTATCGAAGGATTGGGACCAGAGGAATGGATGGTTTTAGTATACCCTCGAGGACAGGGTCCTTGGAAGAGGGTAATTCATCCAGGACCATTTGGACCACACAGGAAACCGCCAGAAAAAGAATGGTCACGTCATCCCTGCTGCGGGATGATTTGCACGATGCAGAGTGGATGTCCGAGAAAGCCGACGGATCAGGAACGGTTCAGGCAATCTTTCCATTAAGAAAGAACAATTACGAAGAGACCTTGCCCTTGTTGTGGGCTGACTTACCAGTTAACATTAAATCTGTTGAACCTAATGAAGTTGTAGTAGAGAAACCTGCTAGTTTTGTGAATAAAGAATTGTTTAAAGCATCTCAGCTCCTGGCATTTCCCGCCAAAAACAAGCAACTGCCAGACACTGACAAAGAACTCTATCACATTCTGTGTGGTAAACATTTGAAGTCCTTTACTACTTCTGTACAGAGAAGAGAAATCTCCCTGGAAAAGACCCTGGTGCTGGAAAAGTGTGAAGGCAAGAGAAGAAGGGGATGACAGAGGATGAGATGGTTGGACAGTTTCACCAAAGCGACCAACATGAATTTGACCCAACTCCAGGAGGCAGTGGAAGACAAGGGGGCCTGGCATGCTCTGGTCTGTGGGGTCATGAAGTGTCGAACACGACTTAATGACTAAACAACACTACTTCTGTATAAAAGGTTAAGTTCTACAAAGTATGTATTACTTCTAAATCTTGCAAGGTAGTTAGCAGGAAAAAGATGACAGAATAAACAGGCAGGGAGATACAGAAAATAAGGGCTATAGTGAAGGGGCTAAGACAGAGTCAGGCAATTTATAAATGGCAAACATGCACAGACCACATGGAACTTTTCACTGCTATCTAAGCAGTGTCCCAGTTCCAATTTCCTGCTGCTGCAGCCCAACCCCATAAATTCTGTAGCAATATGACACATATTGCTGGGTCCCATGGTATATTTTACTTCTCAGCAGAATCAGGTTCTCAACAGTTGTTTATCAGGCTGCCAGAAATATCATTCAGTCTGGAAACAGAGCAGACAAGAAAGATTCTTCTCTGTGTGCTGTTTCACAGAACGGGTGGAATTGCTGCAGTGGCAGCACTGGTGTAGCACTGAGGAGGCCAGCCCCCTCTATCTCCAAGTTACATACTTTACCCTGATGATACAACTTAAAATAGGAATAATGTTCCTTTGCCACACTAGCCATTATGAAAACAAGCATCAGTAATCTGAAAAATTAACTTCTTACCTGATTTATCAGGGATTGGGCCAAAACTTTATTTCCTCCCTTCATGATAACACTGGTGAATTTCCTGTAATTATAAAATTCAAATTCAACTGTGATGGTATTCCAGATGTACTCACCATGAGATACAATCCCCATAAATAAACCCTGTCATTACACTCATCAATGCCGACAGTAATTCTGGAGATGCAGAGAAACAATACCAGTTACTTAGTGTCTGCAAGTCACTAGGTACATTCCTAGAACAATAGTTCTGGTTTGGGGCCAGGGTGCTGGAGGACTATCAGTTTCTGCCACTGACTTCTGTTACTTAGCAGAGAGAGAGAAACAAGCATCATAAGAGGGTAGGGTAGTGCAGACACAGGCTATGGCACCTGAGGTTTCCACATGCTTTCATATTTCTGCTATAATACAGTGCTTTCCAGCTAAAGTTCATATCCTTCCCTCCTCACAGTGGTGACTGGTAGAGAAAGTAAGCTACTACATCAGCCACCAGCATGCTGTAGTCTCATGTGGCAAAAATATACATTAAGTCAAACACAGTTCAGCACTACAGTCTTTGCCGATAGTGACAGGGGAATACTGGGAAGTACTGTCACATCAGATTATTCTTGCACGATGTAAGTCAATTTGGATCCTTTTTAAGGAGAAAGACACAGAATGAATTTCACTGCCCAGCTTTGTGCTCCATAGGAAAACCTGGAAGAAAACCATCTTAGACCACTCTATTCTGTTGCAGGTGTTTGAGCTGTGTCTTAAGGGAAATTCAAGAGAAATCCAGAAACTTTACTAGATTGATCCATATCACAGTAATTATTATCACTAAAGCCCTGAGATTTTAGAACAGTTTGCTAATAATGCTATACTTCTCAGCTATTTCAACATAACAGTGGCTATTAGTTCCATCCAATATACCCCAATCAACTAAATTACTAATACAATATGAGTTCTTATTACAGTATATCAAATTACTGACATGACCGCTTTGAAATCAACACATTTCTTGCTTATGTTTTGTACTTCAACTCCCATCAGCCTTAGCTAGAATGGACAGTGACGAGGACTGCTGGGAGTTGTAGTCCAAAACATCTGCAAAGCACCAGACTGGAGAAGGCTGGTGGTAGAAATAAATGCAAACTGCAGATGACTGCATTCAAACCTGATCACTGGATCATAGAACACAGAACTGCTAACATCAGAAGGTGCAGCTTTTATAGGTCGGACTGTCCTCAGATCCCAATGAGCTTTTTCTTCTTCTGACATTTGTTCCCGAGGTTTGCCATACACTTCTTTGTTCACTTCTGGTTCAAGGTATAGGGAATTATATCGGCTCCACCTGACTTGAGTCAACCTACAAAGGTTTAATGAGGAGGAAACGTATCACAAACATTTTCATTCCTAAGATCTGGAAGTATATAAATCTGCATACAAATAACAATCAGACATCCAATTTTATGCCTCAACCATTATGATCACGTTACCATACTTTCAGCCCTATTTTAAACAGAGTTGGGAATGCAAAAACCTAACTACTAAATGCAATAGCCCATCTACAGAAGAATATCCAACTCCATATTCATTATCAGGTTAGTTACAGTGATCTCACTGAGCAGATTCCCTCACATACTCAGGGCTCAATGCATTCCATGTATAACTCTTTGTATGAAGCACAAAAATAATTATCCCAGATCAATGTGAAATGATCAGATGGGATCTTAACACACTGCTGTGAGAGTGAATATCCATGGAAGTCCAAGTTCCTAGTTTGCATAAAATACAGTATCCCAGATATCCCAGCTCCCAATACATCCTGACTAGCCCAGCATACATCAGATGAGTACAGGGAGCTGGATAAATCAGGAAACTGTATTTGACTCCTTCTTTTTATGGGGGTCATATAATTCAAACCTGACAAGAAGCACAGAAATACACACATTTAAACCGTTTTCCAAAGGACAGAAGTCAACTGTGGGACGTTTATTATCACTCAAAGTAGGCAGAATCACCTGAAAGTTGCACAACTGCAGGCTTTGCACTTGAATCACAAAAACAAGTACTTCACCCAGACAGACACTCTGTAAGAGCATCCTTTAATGGTCAACAATTAGTAAGGCCACTCAAATTGTCTTGAGCTCACTTCTCTCGATGCAGCATTCTCGGCTGCAGCTCCTCAAATCTATTTGCAACAGCCAGATAAATATTTCATAGATAAGGATCACCCTGGAACTGAGTTCCGAGAGCAATGACAACCATGACACTGCGTGAAATGATCAGAGCTTGGCGAAATTAACATTTCAGGACACCTGCCCTGCAGGCTGTCGGTGGATTCCGGGGAGGGAAGGACCAAAAAGCCATTTCCAAACCCTGGACGCGACAACGTTAACTAAGGTTCATTTACATCATATATAATGAAAACAAACACCCCCTTCCGCATTCTAGATTACTGATCCATAGGTATCGGAGCCCCTGTTCCTTACCCGGGCAGCCAGATTTTCCAGCGACCGCAAAGCTGCTGCCTCAACGCCCCGAATCTTTCCGCCACGGCAGCCGCCATTTTGCCCCTGCTTTCAGGCCCCCGCGGAGGGCTGCCTCAGCTACTGCCGGAGGCAGGGGGACACGGGCGTCCCTCGGCGTGCGGGAGAGTAAATAACAGCACCGAATTTTAAATAATACATTTTTTTCTTCATTCGCATCTCTAGATTTACACCCTGCAAATCCAGTTTCTCCTATCTTTTTCTTCCCATGAGAGGCAAAGCAATGTTATGCATGCACATCACCAAGCAGTGGTGCAAGGGTGAGAAGAGCTGAATCTGACAATATTCCTTCTTATAAATACGTGTTTAAAAGTGCAGAAGCCAATTTTGCATCGAAAGCATCCTTAATTCTGTGTCTTTACTACTTGGGTGGGTATAAATTGGATTCATCTTGCACGCCTTCCATGGAGCTCCTCGCTTTTCTTCAGGCGATGCAAAGACAGCTTTGCTGGTGCTCAGCAACTAGCGAAGACCCCGAGAAAGGGAGAAGGCTGCTGGCATCAACTGATCGTCCTATGATATTGTTTCATTAAAGTCAATTGTATAAAATAAATGCAGAGCTCACTAGGTTCACCTGTCGCATATCATTAGAAATACAGTATGTGATAATAATCACTAATATGCTGTTATCATATTGTTAAGATTACTGTATTTTATGGAGCTGCCCTTAGCAAGGATCTGGAAAGTACTGAGAATGAAAATATGGTTGCTGGATTGATTGGAAGTATAGTTTGCAGACTATCTGACCTTTTTCTTGGAGTAATTTCACTTGCTTAGAGTTTGTTTCCAGGCACAATTGAAGGTACTAGTTTTGATCTACACAACTCCCCAAGATTGGAGCCAGCATGGCTAACGTTCCATTCATTGCATGCAAACATGTCTATAATTTACTATCATCAACTGAGATAAATGCCCCAGTAGCTATAGACAGAATTTTAAGTAGCAGTTTTAGTACCTGAGGCGTGGGCATGAACCTCATGCTCCCAGGAAAATGAAGGAGGAGTGTGTGAGGTCCCCACAAATGAAAGAGCATTTTGTATTCTTGAAGATGCCAGCCACAGAGACTGGCGAACCGTTGCGAAGAAAAACCTTAAGAACACGGCCAAACAGCCCGGAAAACCCACAACAGCCATCAAAAGAGCATTTTCCTTTTTCAAACGAATTTTAAAAGTGAAAATAGATAGGACTGGTAGGTGTTTCCCTATTTTTTCTTAACAGTCATCTGTAGATCTACTGTAGATATCCAGCAGTTTCTGAATGTTTATCCCCCATTATTTATTCTACCACAAAGGGCTGCAATTTATTTCAGAACATTGCAGCTCTTCAGAACAATGGAGTCTTTTCTTTCAGCATAGGCATGTTTAACATCAAGCAAAATCCTGATGCTATGTGAGTGTAACTCAATGTTACACCCATGGTAGGTATAAAAATGCCATGGCAGACATGCTATTCCTGAAAGACTTCCACTGCAGTATTGTGCAAGCTATTCCCGAAAGACTTCCACTGCAGTATTGTGCAAGGGTGGCAATGGGAATCATGCAACCAATTGCACACTGCACAATCAGATCACATTACTTCCTGCTATGAGTTGTAACTTCCGGCACATTTACATGGGGGTTATATTTGCATGAACAGGATTTTGCCCATTGTGTGGTAATGCAAGTAGTGCTTCTCCCTTCTTCCCAGTTATTCAATTACTAATTCTGGGTCAATTACTAACCATTTGTGCAATATCAGAAAATACTTCTTAACTGTTAGAGCAGTACAACAATGGAACCAATTACCTCAGGAGGTAGTGAGTGTTCCAACGCTGGAGGTATTCAAGACAAAATTAGACAACCATCTGTCAGATATACTTGGGTTCCTGTGTTGAGCCAGGGGGATGGTATCAGCGGTCTTATAGACCCCTTCCAACTCCATGGTTCTTTGATTATTTATTCAGAGGGAAATAGGCAAATGATAATATAAATAATAATATATCAAATACTGTACAGACTAGGGGGTCTGAACTGGCAGTGTCTAAAAGATATTTTACAGTCGTGGAGGGTAAGAAGTTGGAAATTAGTCAGACCATTAATTGATCTAGATGTATCTAAAACTGGCAATATAACTCTACCTGCCATGTTGCTATCCTATGGAATCCTGGTATTTATAGTTTGGTTCAGTACCTAGAGATTTGCATGTGCATGGATGTTGACACTGGAGATGTATATCAGACAGGCAGTAGCTTTTATGGGTTCAAGAATATATGTAACTATCTTCTCCCGTCATACCTGGAAAAGTTAGAGATCGAATCTGGAATCTTTTTTCATACAAATGCTTTGCCACAGAGCAACAGTCCTTCACTGTGTGCAGCAGTTCTGAACAGGGACAAATACCATGTAGAATTTATAAAGAAAAGGAATGCAAATAAAACTGGCACATTATGCTGTTAGAGAAATAAACTGAGTGTTTATAGTAGGAATACTGTCTACAGTTCTGATCATTCTGCATCTCAGAGTGGGGCATGGAACCATGAGAGTTTAGAAAGGCACAATCAAAATGTTTAGGAGGACTTGTATGCAAGTCTTCTACAGTGGATGGTACTTTTTAATTTAGAACAGTGGTGGAGAACATTTGACACTCCAGATTTTTAGGACTACAACTTTGATTATCTATTATTATTGGCTAAAATGTGTGGGGTGGATAGGAATTATAGGCTAAACGAAGTTGGAGAGCCAAAGTTTTAATTGCCTTTCTAGTAAAAATTCTCTATCCCTATTTTATACAAGTATATATTTTAAAGGTGACTGAAGAAAGAGAACATGATAGAGGTCTGCATATATGAAAGGTGAGGGGAATGCACATTATATTTTTAATCCTTTTCCCATAACACTAGAATTTAGATTCATACCATAAAACTGGTTGGCAAGAGAGTGAGAACAGAACACAAGAGATGCACACACAATAGGTAAAGTGCTGTTGTGTAATGTTATGCTATGATCCAGCTCCAGAAATAGTGAAGCAAAACTAATTGAAATATTTTTATCCCCCAATTACAAGGCTCCCTGCAGCTTCCTTTTGCCCTAAGAAAGTATTTGGGAGTCTCTGGACCATGGGTGAAAAGCTTTAATGGTAAAAACAAAATCACCACTAGATCATAGATGTTGTTATATATTGCAATGATCTTCTGTTATTTTGGAAATTTTTACTAGAAAGGCAGTTAAAATTAATTAATAAATGTGCCACTGAATATCTGGATGATGGTGGTAACTACAGTTAGACTGTTACGCAAGAGACTTGTGATGCCAAAGAGAAGAGAAGGTTTTGTTTTGAATGCACTTTTGTGGATTGCAGTCCACTTCCCGAATTCCCCAGCCAGCATGGCAATCCTGCCAAGGGCGTTATGGAAGTGAGCTACAGTTTCCAAAAGCTTACCAAATAAAGCTAACCTTTAAGGTGACCACAGGTCTCAGTTATTTTCACTGAAGATAAGTTAATGGGGAGCAATAAATAAGAGGCCTTTTGCCTTCAGAGCCTACTTCCAAGCTTCTAGGAAGCATTCCATTAGAAACCATGGAAAAGCTGAAGTGGATGGATCGTGGGCTCTTCTATATCCCGATGGAATTAAATCAAGATACATAATTCCATCCTAGGCAAGTGCTGTTTTGACAGTTGCAACTTCTTTGTAGTTAAATTACTTGATAGGCAGGTCTGCCTGCAGAAGAAAAATGTAAGGAAGAGCTAAGAGTTTCACAGCGCAAACTGTGTATATAGTATGTTGCAATGGATGTCCAGATGCCACGGGCGTCGTTTTTATCCTACAAGAAGGAACTCCGTGGTATGTGTGTGCTGGGATTGGGCACCTGTTTATCACTCCGGGGGTATTGGGTGATTTAAGGGGCAAAGGCTTTGAGACGTTATCCTTTAGATTAGAACCAGAATCCCCCAGCAAAGTTGGCCAGAGGTCATGTTGGCTGGCGGACCGTACTAGTAGTCCAGAAAAGGTAACCGTTTCGAGCCTGCAAAAGCCCAAGGCAACTTTTTCCAAGCGGTTTCCCATGCCCTGTTTCAGGGCGCTGGTTTCCCTTTTCTTCAGGAACGACCGGTTTGAACAACGTGAGGGAGTTTGTTTTCCCGCGCTCCTGTCACGGTGTTTTGTTCCGTTTTAATTTCGACGGTTGTGATTTGCTTCAGCAGAACTGCGCCTCGCGGAGGGGGTACCTGACCCCCGCTAACAATAACAAGGGAAAATCATCATCCCCACCACCATCCCATTATCATAAAAGTAGCACTGATCGCCATGAGGACGCGAGCACAGCCCAACGAAAGGGGGTGCTGCAGTCCCTGAAGAGGCTGACCCGGTTTCTCTCTTTCCCTCCCAGACAGGCTGGGGCTGGGCCTGGCGCGGAACCCGCTTAGCAGCGGCGTCGCCTCCTCAGCCGCGGGCGGAGCCTCCGGACCGGCCGGCAACATGGCGGAGGCGGAAGGGGAAAGCTTGGAGTCCTGGCTGAGTGAGTAGCCCCTGCCTTCTCCCCTTAAGCCGAACGAGCGGGAGAGGCACGGCGGTTCTGGGGGAAAGGAGGAAACAGGGACCGAGGGTGGCTGGCTGGGAGGGCAACTGGGAGCCGGAGGAGGAGGAGGAGGAAGACTGGGGGGAGGGCGGTTTGCGCGCACTGCCTGGCCAGGAGCGTGTGAATGGGGGCAAAGACCACCCACTCCCCCGGGAAGGGTGGGACCGGGAGGCGGCTGTGGAGGAGAAGAGAGTGGCTCCTGTGGGCCGTAAGCCAGACCAAGAAAGCAAAAAGGGGGCCAGGCTGAAGCGGGAGGGACCCCGTGGAGAGGGAGGACCGGCTTCCTCTCTGCCCCTGACAGCTGTCAGAGCAGAGGCGACGCGGGACGGGCGGACGTTATTTCCCTCCCGCGAAGCCCCGTGAGAGGCGCAAGGATCCTGGCCGCCTTGTCCCCTCCCCTGTGAAGGGGATCCGGTTCCGGCCGCTTGCTCCTGCGCCGACGACCCTTTCGGATTTCTCCTCCCTTCAGTCTGGACCACGGAGGATCCTCTCGCCTTCACGAATTTACGCCTTTAATGAGCCTTTTCTCCTTCTTGTTAGGGAACAGAAATGCATAAACCAGAGGCTTATTCCCCCCCCCCCTCGGTCATTGTTTAAGGCCTGTCTCTTGAGGGTATCCATCCTTAGATACTTTCGGACATGTGTGAAATGTGGTTAGAATGCCTGGCTCAAGGGCTACAGGGAG